GGCAACTGACAAGAGTATGTTTTCTTTACACAGCCAGCCAGATGAGATTGAAGTGGCCAACAGTAGTTTGAAAAACATGATGCAGAATTAAGGATTTACAATGAAAACACATCTTACTTACTTTAATGCTAATTTCTTCTAAATTTCACCCTCTGCAACTTTAGCGCTCGGTCTCTGAACTAATATATTATTTTTATTTCAGCAAGTCAGCCTAATGAAGACACTTTGGTGTCATCTTGGTAATTCAGGAATTGTAGATGAGACGACAATAGTATCACAGTGAAATTATTTATTTGTAACATTGCAAATAGTGAATCAGTGATGGAGTCAGACTTGGGATTTTGTTTATCCAATTTCCTCATTATACTATGCACATGTAGCATTGAATCAGGGATTGAATTATTGATGTAATGGATCTGTTTGAGTCTTTATCTGGATCACAATGAGTACATAACATGAACAGAGAATCAGCTATCTACTGAAATAAAAGTTGGTACTCCTCAGTCTTTATGAAGCATAAACAATATGCAGAGTATGATATAAATACTGAAGTCTAAAAGTTAAAATGCTAAAATGTGATGTCACTGTCTTTTCTGTTTGGTACCCTTTCTATCAAGGCACATAACCCACTCAATTTTCATCTCATATCTAATGGATTCTTATAGTTCATAGATATGCTTTAAAATATTACTGAATAAAAATAGCACATGTGTTTATCTTTATTCAGAAACCTCTTAATAATGTACAAAAACAAAACTCTTCTCTCAGCTCTTCTTCAGTAAAGAGGGTTTTGTTGTTTTTTTTTTTTTAAATAACTTCTGTCTATAATTTAGTCGTAGTGTCCTGTAAAGTCCTGCTTTTAGTATCTGCTCTCAGAAGAGAACTGTTTGTCAAATTTCCATTAGGCTGAAGGTAAAAAATTAATGAGCCACTTACTTTAGATATGTCAAAACTAATGCAAGTCTATTAGTCATGAAGCCCAAAAAATCAAAGATTTGGGTAAATTCATTTATAGTTTAGGGTTCACTCATACTTAACATTTAAATACACTGCTTCATAAGCTTTATAGAGCATTCTAGAGAAAAATGGAATGCAGTTATTAATTTTTTTATTAACATAAATATATCTTAAATATGATTTTATTTATTTAGAGACTTTTTATCTACAAAAGTTAATTTTAGGGCAAAGATAATCAGTGAATTGATAGGGATAGACAGGATTTGAGAGTTTTTTAATACGTCTCCTGGGAAAGAGTATTAGTTATCTAGGGAGAAACCATAATTATATAGCAATCATAGAATTATAATTTATTATTTAATTGTACCCCTGCTCTATTTTGTAACGACTCAGAAAACCATTAAGATATAGGCATTAAGATTATTTTTCAAACAATTGTTGATTCTTTTTTCTACCATTAATTATTGAAAGACTGTTATGTACCTGACAGTGTGCTAGGCATTGTGTAGATGTACATGACTTGATCCTTGCTTTCAAAAAGTTATAGTTCAGAAGGAATGAACAAAGTAATTTTACATAGTGATAATGTTAACTGAACGTAACAAGCATTGCAAAAAAAGGTGCAGATATATCACACAGAGCTGAGGGTGCCAGAGAAAGCTTCACATAGATGACTTGTAATTTGGGCTTTGAAGGAACCAAGTACTTTAGACGTGTGTGATGTATGAGAAGAACAAACGAAGTAGAAGGAATGGCTTAAGCAAACACGTGAGGGACGTAGCTCATGGAGTATGTAAGGATATAGCTTAAGTCTTTGCTTAAAATGTATGAAGAAAACTAGTAGGAAATAATGTTGAAATATAAGGTTTGAGATTGTGAAGGGCCTTGAATGGCAAGCTAAAGAGTTTGATATTTGAATTGGAGAGAGGGGAAATCATGCAGCATCTTAAGAAGTTTCCACATTCATGAAGACTTCAAAATAGTAGACTGCACATTGCACATCAATATTATTTCATTATCTCATGCACATTAAAAACTCCAAAGGTAACGGCTGAGAGAGAAAGTACATACTGGGAAAATCAGATGCCTATCCCAGAGTTTTCTAGCTAGTTGAACCAGACATTGCCCATGCTTTGAAACATGAATCAGTTTATCCTCAAGTGCAGCCTGGAGCATTGGACTTGAAGCTCATCACTGTTGGCTGAGAGCAGCCTCCTGTGGTCTGAAAATCCTCTTAGGTTTATCTCAACCGGCTGTACAACTACTGACACCTTCTACATAAATGGTGTAGGGCCTGGTTCCTTGGCACGCCCCCTGCGCAGTCTCACAGAGTCTGCTATTGCCATGTTGAAATTCTTCATACTTCCTGAACAAGAGGTCCCACGCTGTCACTTCACTGTGGGTCCTGCAAGCTACATAGCCACTTGTGGTTCCGTGAATATGAAAACTGTTGGGAAATAATGACCTACACTGTGGTCAGAATGCACTATCGTATATGGCTATAGAAGGGGACAATGAAATTATGAGGCCAATACTGCTCTTATACAACAAAATATATTCTCAGCTGAAATCTTTATTAGTTTGTCTTCAAAACCATGACTTCCATGGCTGCCACAGGCCTAAGCTAAATATAATATTTTAGCCTTTTGGTCTTCCAGATGATAAATTAAGGAAACACTTCCGTAACATATTTTATCATTTATAATCTACGTCCTCCTGTAGCCTGGATACCAGCATCATTGAGCTCTGCACCCTCTGAAGTCCCATCAAATTACATTCTGAGAAAAACTCTTAGCAATTATTTTCCCTAATAAAAGTTCTCAAAAATACAGCACTACAGTTGGAAACATCACTTGCTTCTGGATAGAGCCATTGCATTGTGTATTTCCTTTTCTGCGTCAGTAAAAACATAGAAACTGAATAAGTATTAGTTATTTATTTAAGCATAGTTTATTCTCTCCTTTATGTCTATTCTAGTCATGTAATTTTTGTACTTCTGTTATTATAACTATTTTCTCTTATTTAATTTTTATCTTTTAAAGTTGTAGGTGCATTTAGTTCATTTAAATAGTCAAATATTTCTACAGGCTTAATTCATAAAAATGTCACCTTTCCTTCTCTTCCCTGTGTGTCTTCTCTCCTCTCTTTAACTCCCCAGGGCAAATATGTAGCTGTTTTTTAACATCTTTCATAGCTACTTACCTTTTTTATTTACCTTCCTTTCAGTTATGTGTGTGTTTGTTTTTCAATTTCATCCATTATAGTAACTTACCACTCTGAGAGATAAAGCCTTAACTCAGCCGGGCACGGTGGCTCACGCCTATATTCCCAGCACTTTGGGAGGCTGAGGTGGGCAGATCACGAGGGTAAGAGATCAAGACCATCCTGGCCAACATGTTGAAACCCTGTCTCCACTAAAACTACAAAAATTTGCTGGATGTGGTGGCGTGCGCCTGTAGTCCCAGCTACTCAGGAGGCTGAGGCAGGAGAATTGCTTGAACCCGGGAGGCGGAGGTTGCAGTGAGCCGAGATTGTGCCGCTGCACTCCAGTCTTGTGCCCGGTGACAGAGTGAGACTCTGTCTCAAAAAAAAAAAAAAAAAAAAAAAAAGCCTTAACTTTCACAAATCCTCATGTACATCACTGCCTGACTTTTCCCCTTTTCCCCTTTTTTTCCCAAAAGGGATCATTTTGTGTTACATTAACAGTCATTACTTATATTATTTTGACTACGTAAATATTATACTTATTGTTCAATGATTAAATTTCTTTCTTGCACAACTTTTGGTCCCTTTAAGCTAAGAGTTGTCTCCCATTACAGCGTTCTTATTTTTCTTTATAGCTAGACACTCTTCAAATGTAAGACTCTGATCTTACTGTAAATATTCTCTCAACATGTTGGCACATATCTGGTATTCTCATTGATTTGGTCTTCCTAGAGACCTCCCTTCCCAGACCTGCTGACCACCTGCTATCATCTTCACTAGGTCTGCTGCCCATGGGCCAGCCCAGGATTGCCCTTGGCTTGGATCTCTTACTTAAGAATAACAAAATGAAGTTGATTCGAAGTTCTGTATATGATTGGGATTTATCGTCTCACTCTGTTACCCAGGCTGGAGTGCAGTGGCACGGTCTTGGCTCACTGCAACCTGTGCCTCTGGGTTCAAGCTATTCTCCTGCCTCAGCCTCCCAAGTAGCTGGGATTACAGGCATACACCACTATACCCAGGTAATTTTTTGTATCTTTAGTAGAGACAGAGTTTCACCTTGTTGGCCAGGCTGGTCTCCAACTCCTGACCTCAAGTGATCCACCCGCCTCGGCCTCCCAAAGTGCTGGGATTACAGGCGTGAGCCACCGCGCCTGGCCAACGTCATCCTCTTTTAAGTGTGATGTTCTTCTCTGTATTTGGTGCCTCCCTGTTCAGTGTCTCACTCTCAGTTTTCTGCTGATGTAAGGAAGGAACAGGCATCCACATTGACTGGGTGTGTGAGGATTCCAGAGGACGAGGCATTTCACAGTCAGAATTTCATCGAATCCTCCTGCTTTCGGTCTCTTTTGTAGCCCTACTCTATTAGGTAGCTGGTGTTGACAATTTCTAAGCCTTTCTTGGTTCAGTGATACAAATGGCATTCTCAGCTTCCCTACTAGGAACTTCAGTTTTAGGTGACCCCTCAGGTCTTACATCACTGACACTTACCTGCTTTCCAACTAGAATCTTATTACTATCTGTTCTGGCCCCTGTACATTTATGCTTTTTCATTCTTTTGTCGTCATTTCAGTGGCGTTTTATGGGACAATGGAGATAAGGGCATGTGTGCGATCTGCCATCTTTAGCTAGAATATGTCATGGTATTTGGACTAAATTTTTATTAAGTATCTCAAATCATTTTAATAAGTAAACAGGGTATAACTAAGGAGTAAATAAACAAATGCATAAATATAAACTTACTAGTCATAATTTAAATACTTATTACAGACAACTTTTTCCACAGCGTTTTAAATTTCTGTTTACTAAGGGTCTCTTTCTTTTTCTTTTGAATACAGATGGATGTTTTAGACAAAGCCGATCGAACCTCAGCTCCCTGTTAGTACAGCCCATCTCTGCCTCCCTGGTTGCAAAACTGATCTCTTCGCCAAAAGCTAGAACCAAAAATGATGTCTGTAGCCCTCTAGAGCTTCCAAATAATGGTAAAGTATTTAATGTCTTTCTCTGTGTTTTATAGTTTTCGTAAAGACCATGATCATTTTTAATCTCCTAAACTGGCATGTGTAGGATTCTTCTTTTCGAAAACATTGACTTTTGACGAAGTAAGCATTATTTTCTTCTGTGGCTCTTTAGCAGCATGTTTGGGAAGTAATTTTTATAAAGACTGAGCGTTGACCAAAATGAGAGATTAGAAAAAAGAAACCATTTTGAACTGCTACAAAGAAACATAGCTTTATAAATAAAGCATTTTGTACATTCATGAAAATCTGCTTAACGTAGCTTCCCAGTTTCAGCTTCAGCAGTCTCATTGCCTGCCAAGATTCAGTGGATAGCAGGCAGCTATCTGGGGTATGAAGTCTTTAGTATAAAGCATTACAGCCTAATTCTTGCAATTGACTAAACAATCCCTCTGTCTCTACGCATCATCGCCCGAGAGATGCTTCTCGTACAGCAGGGCAGCTTGTCAGGCCTTGTTGGACCACGTAGGAGAAAACTGAAATAGTTAAGCTACCTGTGGTGGGATGAAAGTCGTGGGCCACATCTTATTCCTGCCTCCAGCCTCAGTAGTAGAGTTCTAAAGAAAAGACTCTCTTTGCAATTTGTTAAATTTGTATGTATTTGCGGGGAACTATGACTCGTGGGCCCTGTTTTCTGTGTCCTCCAGGCTCAATAGTCAAGCTTTGTCTCAAGTGTTTTTCTCTTGACAACAAAAGCCTACAAAAAAGAAAACATGTTGAAGAAATCTGTAAAAGAAAAAAAAAAAAAAAAAAGAAAAGAAAAAAGTCTTAATACAGTAATGATTTCTCTGTTAGGGACATATGCTTTTCAAAATCCTATGGACTGAGAGCCTCGTAAACTGATTACCAATTAAAGAAGGTGGGAAAATTAGAAAACAATAATAAGTTGATGTTCTCAAAGCAGGAATGAAGAAGCTCTCGAGGAGCGTTTTGTTTTGTTTTGTTTTTCTTCTGCCGTTTATTCTGAGCCCAACAAGTTGATTATGGGCTCCATTTGTTAAAATATGTAAACACCACCACAATAATAGTTAGTTGTGAGAAGTCCTGGACTTGTAAAAACACATAGTTAAGCCCGGATCTGCATAATTAATTAATTCAATGCATATTCAGAGCCCCCCAATACACTCCAGAGAGGGTTCTGTCCTCAAGGAACAGACAGTCCCCGTGCTGGCTGAATGCCCTCACCTGTATCGCCTCCCACCGGAAACCTGTACGCCTTCACTTGCAGAAGACAGCTACCCCTTTATCATCTGAAGTGCTTGTGAGAACCCAATTATGATATGTGCATCAATTCTTTTGTTTATTTTTTGTGTTATATGTTATGTTACTTTTTTTTTAAGACAGGGTCTTGCTCTGTCATTGGGGCTAGAGTGTGAGTGGCTTAATCATAGCTCACTGCAGCCTCAGACTCCTAGGCTGAAGTGATCGTCCCACCTCAACCTCCCAAGTAGCTAGGACTACAGGTGTGTGCCACCACATTAGACTAATTTAAAAAGTATATATTTTGGTAGTCACGGGATCTAACTAAGTTGCCCGGCTGGTCTTGAGCTCCCTGGATCAAGTGATCCTCCTGCCTCAGCCTCCCACGCTGCCAGTATGAGCCACTCTACCTCGATTAATTTTCTTGTATGCTGTAAAATGTTACATAAATATTAAGAAATATTTTTGTTATCAAATAACTACCTTTTTAAAATAAATTTTTGAGACAGGTCTTACTCGATTGCTCAGGCTGTAGTTCATGGTTCACTGCAGCCTCAACCTCCTGGGCTCAAGCGATCCTCTTCCTTCAGCCTTCTGAGTAGCTAGGACTACAGGCACATGACGCTACATGCAGCTAACTTTTCAATTTTATTTTAGAGACAGGATCTCACTATGTTGCCAGGGCTAGTCTCAAACTCCGGAGCTTAAGCCATCCTACTGCTTCAGCCTCCCAAAGTGCTGGGATTACAGGAATGAGCCACTGTGCCTAACCTAACTACATTAACCTTCTTCTTAATATGGAGAATAATGTCTTAGCAAAGCAAGAATGAAGCCTACCAGAAAAGTTGAGATATACACCAGTGTTAAAGCAAGAAAGATAGGCCTAGTTTCTAAGGGATTATGACATGTGAAAGCAAGAAAGATAGGCCTGCTTTCTAAGGGATTATGACATATGAAATTTTTCTCATGGATATTGTTATGTTTTTAGAAAATTGTTATATTTTTAGAAAATTCAAAAACATATTTAAATCATTGAGAAGACATTTCATGTTATAATGAGTTCTTTATTTTTTAAAAGTCAGAATATACATTTAGATTTTCCAAATACTGACTCTGTTCAATTAATATTTGGAAAATCTAAATATATAATTCCATATTAATGTATAATCCTACATTAAACTAAATTTAATTAAACCTAAATTTAATGTAGGATTATAACTCTTTATGCTAATGTTTTGGACAATAATGCTCATAATTTGTCTGAGATAATTAAGTTTCCTTATAGATATTATAAAACGCATTAGTTATGCACAGTGATGTATATCAGGATGGGACATGAAAAAGATACTGAAGGAGGTACTCTAATTTTAAGCAATAATAGCAATGCTTATTTTTTAAGGGTTAAAGAAATGATTTAAAGCATACTGTAATTATAACGTATTGTTGAATTTTCTAAGTATAGTCCTGATCTTTAGTGTTGGAAAATCTTCACTCAACAAGTCTCGAAAGGGCACATTAAGAATATGTGTGTCAATCCACGAATTATTTATCCTACCCATTTAACCCTTTATCTATACTAACTCAAAAATCTCTAAAATCCAGACAAAAATGTAATAGAATTTTTCTAATACAAAATCAAGGACTACACTTAACAACTCTAGTGTTAAAGTGAGTAATTGTTCAAATTTCAGAAACTGAGTCTTGGTCCTGTTTTTCCAGACTGGGATTATCCTTGAACCGATCATCATAATATAGTTGATGGAGTCTTTCGATAGGCTTGAATCAACCAGAATCTATGTCTAGGGATATTGTCAAAGCTACTCATAAAATACTGATGGGAAATGTTGGCAACAGTTCAGAAAAGGAAAGTGGCAAACGGATGCTGAGAAAGCAAGTGTAGTTCAAGAACAATACAAGTCTGGCTAATCACGACCAAGACTCAGTTCATAAATTTTAAGCAATGACTTACCTCATCATTATTAGAGGTGAACCATAAACCATATGATCTTTCTCTAGCCATCTTGAGAGCAGGGGTATACATTCTGCCTGAATAAAGTCAACATAGGGGGAGTCAGATGAGTAAAGGGGAAAGCTAGAAATAGAAGGTGTGTGTGTGGAGAGAGACAGAGAGAGAGAGAGAGAGAGAGAGAGAGAGAGAGAGAGAGAAATCTTGTCTACATTATTTGAGCCCTGCATAAAGCCTTATCTTAAGCCAAATCTATTGAACTTTTCATACATATGAATCAATACATTCCTCCTTTGTTTCAGCTATTTATGTTTGGTTTTTACTTACTTGCAACCAAAAGCTATCTAACTGATACAGACTGTAACACTTAAACTAAACAAAAGAAATGAATGCCTTCTTCGTACATGAAATAGTCTCAGCAAATTGAAGTGGACAGCAGGGCATTTATATGGACATCACTGAGAGAACTTAAAAAAAAAGTATGAGGAATGGAGAAAGAATCAAGAGAAAAGTTATTGCCTAAATAGTTTGCATTGATTAGATAATTGGATACTGACTCCATTTCGTTTCAAATGGTCTTTTTATATATAGGGCTGGCCCATTCATTCAACATATTATCAGTCTTTGTCTTTGTGGTTCAGTCAAAACATGGAAAACTTAATTTTCACATAGCAATCTCAGCTTTTAAAATTTATGACTACAGTCATTAAAAGGGAAGAAGAAACTTTAAAATCCATTATAATTTAGGGTGAAAATATAAATCAATCAAATTAAAAATAAACATCTTAATATGTTTGATGATTCACTTATTTTTGAAAACATAACTGTTTTCATGTTGCTTAAAACATATCATCAGTGATGACAAAATTTTACATAAATAAATTTGCAGGATGTTTCTTCAAGTGGATATACTGTATATCTTTGGCTATGATTTCCTTATTTACAATTCTGTACATTTTTTGATGAAAATTACTTGATTATTAAAATGTCATAATGTCTAACTGAAAATCTCATGTATAATTTTTACATGTTTCTAATGCATTTTGAAAATCTTTATTCCCAAACTGTTAGTAGTTACTTGAACCAACACATTATTAGCATTTCTTAGGTACAAATTTAAAACCATATATTGAACTTATTATCTGCGAGTTGTAGTAACACAAATATTTATTGACTTTTCAAGAATCATCTATTAACAGGAAATGTTAGTACAATTGAATGCAACATTATGTATTCTTTTTTTTATATATTATACTTTAAGTTCTGGGGTACTTGTGCAAATCCCGCAGAATTGCTACATAGGTATATACATGGTGGTTTGCTGCATCCATTCCCCAGACATCTACATTAATTATTTCTCCTAATATTAGCCCTCCCCAACACCCCCATCCTCTGTTATCCCTCCTCTAGATCCCCACCCCATAACAGGCCCCAGTGTGTGATGTTCTCCTCCCTGTATCCATGTGTTATCATTGTTCAATACCCATTTATGAGTGAGAACATACGGTGTTTGGTTTTCTGTACTTGTGTCAGTTTGCTGAGAAGGGTGGTTTCCAGCTTCATCCATATCCCTAAAACGGACATGAACTCATCCTTTTTTATGGCTGCATAGTATTCCATGGTGTATATGTGCCACATTTTCTTCATCCAGTCTGTCCTTGATGGGCATTTGGGTTGGTTCCAGGTCTTTGCTATTAGAATCAGTGCTGCAATGAACATGTGTGTGCATGTGTCTGTATAATGGAACAATTTATAATCCTTTCAGTATATACCCAGTAATGGGATTGCTGGGTCAATT